AAGTGGCTGCTTCCACAAAGCTGTCAGCCTCAGGTTGCTGGAGTTCGAACCTCACAACTCTCCCGCTGGCCAAAAGTGCCCTGAAGGCATTCGAGGAATAAAGACTTCTCCAAAGACAGCTTCTCTAACACCAATCAAACACTCATCTCTGCCAAAACAAAACAAAAAAGTAGATAGAAATAAATGACCATTTTGTCGTGGAAAAAAAGTATATGTATATACAAGATAGTTAGAATAGATATACAGCTACTTTCTCTTAGTTCAATGAGAAGAAAGATTTGTACTAATAGTGTTTAGACAAGATATCATGTCTGCTTCTTGTCCTCTGAATAACTACTATGAAGACAATGTTGTATATTATTGTAAATGTCCTACTAACATGTTTTTGAAACTGTTTCATTTCTGTTTTATCTTTCTCATTAAAATAAAAAAATAAAACAAACAAAAAAGATACAGTATGACACAAGCAGACGTCCCCCCTGCAGCTGACTGAGACATCTCAGCAAGATGCTGCCTCCTTCAAAGCACAACGCTACACAGATTATAAAATGCCCCAGATCTCATGTGTCACAATCTTTCAGTAGGTGGCAGCTGAGATGCAGTTGCCCACCTCGGTTAAAATTAACCAAGCACAGCATCAAAACTTGCAGAGTGGTGGTCAATAGCTTAGAAGGATAAATTTTGAAACCAACAGTAGAAGATGCTTTCCAAGGATGCCACAGTGTCACCAACACCTAACATGACAACAGCACTGCTCAAGAAAACACAGACAAGTGACAACTGGGTCATAAACTGGTTTAAAAACACTGCATTCAGGGGCCAGGATGATAGCTCAGTGGTCTAAGTGCCTGCCTGGCAAGCCCAAGGACCCACGTTTGATCCCTGGTACCAGCCCCCAGTGCTTGGGGAGGCTGAGACAGGAGACTTGCTACGAGGCCAAGCTATGTAGCAAGACCCTGTATCAAATACACAAATTTTTTTAATTTTTTAAAAAATTGCACTCAAAATGTGAAGTTTCAGGAGTCTCTTGCTTGTTCTTTTTTGTAAGATGAATTGAATGTAATAGAATGGAAATCTGACTAAAGTCTAAAAGCTCTTGCAATAAATTTTGAAACTAAAGCATTTTCCTTCTAACTGGCTCATTTTTCTTAATGGTTCACAACATAAACTATGCCTTCCAACTGCTGGTATCTGAAGTTCTAGGAAACAGCTCCCTGCTCAAGAGGCTGGAGCGAGGAACCCCGGGGATCCCTAGCTAAGGGTTTCTCAAGGAGTCACTCAGCTAGGCACTGGGGATGTCAGGAGCCACGGCCTTCGGCTGCAGCTCAAAGATCTCGAAACTTCTCAGCACAGGTTTCAAGCCAACTTGCTGATGAAGGAAAATGTGTTACTACTTCAGCCAATTTCTGAAAATTAATTTGGGCAACTACCAATAGCAAGCCATCTGTATCCCTTCCCTTTCGCAAGACTTCTGGGATTTGTCCTCTTCCCAATGGACATTTCATCTTGAGACTGGGCATGGCCACATACGAGGCACTGTGGTATGCCATGCTAAGTCATTCTTACCTCTTCCCTAGCCTCAGCCAGTGCTGCTAAAGTTGTTTGTTCTTACCACCATGGAATATTATTAGCCAAGAAATACTAAAATTTGATGAATTCTAAAATATAGATTCCCCCTGTTTTAATAGTCATGGGACCACTTTTTTTCTTTTCAGCTTAAGTAATAAAAGTTTATTGAGAATTCCTGGAGTGATAATTACTCCTCCCACCTGGAGGGAGGGTGCAACACTGTAGGAAATCACTGAGAAATCACACAAGGTCCCAATGCTCTGGCTGACACAGGAGGAAGTCGTCCCTGAAGGTCAGTCTTGCATGGCCTCCAGGCAACAGGTGCAGAAGGACCACCACGTGGAATAGGCTGCCCCTCAAAATCCAGAGGAAAAACAGCCACTTCCTCGTGGAGGCAGAGTTTTAGGAGACCAGGCTCATTTCTTACCCTTGATGAGGCTGTCACTTCCCCAGGTGAAACTTTCATCCTGGAGGTTCAGCATGAGGTTGTCAGCCGTGAGATAGATTCGATTCTGTGAAGTGGCGATCGTCTTAGAGATGTTTTGTCCTGCCCGGATCTTTCGGAGCTTGATGTAGCCAGGATTCTTGCTCAGTGCTTCTCCAAGGTGAGCAGGGCAGGATTAAGGGTCCATAAGACTGGGTCCAGCCCTCCTCACTACCCCCTGCGGTCCTCTGGGCCATCAGATCCAAGCTGTGCTCACATGGCTTCTGCCCACCGCACCTGCAGCCCTGCCTGTGGGCCTTCCTGCAGGCTGCTGCTGGAGCCAGGGTAGCAGCAGCCTCAAGGGCAAAGCAAGGCCAGAGAGACCACTTTTTACATAAGCTGCCTGTAGTCGCAGGAAAGAAATTTTTTTTAAATTTTTTTTAATCTTTATTTATTTGGTACAGGGTCTCGCTACACAGCTTAAACTCATAGTGATCCTCCTGTCTCTGCCTCCCCAGCGTTGGGATTACAGGCATCTGCCACCACACCCAGTTTTCATGGCTAGCCCGGCATGCCCAGGGTTCTGGCGCCAGCACAGCATATGGCACCAGGGATCGAACTCAGGCACTTGAGCTCGCCAGGCAGGTGCTTAGGCCGCTGGGGTATCTCCCCAACCTAGGAAAATTATTTACAAAGATGGCCTCTCCTCTCCCTGCACTCCTTTTTAGGAAAGAATTAAGTAATATATATTATTTATATTTAAAGCTAAGATTATGTTATAGATTTGTTTTAACCTTTGAGAGAAAACAGAAAAAACAATCCACACAGTAAAGGCTGAAATGTAAAAGGGCTGCTCCTAGCAACTTGGAGGCAAGCAATGAAATCAACTGCTTGGCCCCGGGGCTGCTCTCAGTCTGTGGGTGGGAATGTGAGTTGGTAAAGGGTGTTGCACCATCTATGGCTGCACCGTTGGTCTCAGCCTCCCAAGTTTCCCAGCAGCACCTGTTTCCACCTCAACTCGCAAGAGGTGCTAACATTACCTCGAGGACGGCTTGTAAGGTTAGCACCGACATGACCCATTAAGAGCAAGATGTGGAGAGAAGATCAGACCCACAACTCTTCATTTCCAGCCCTTGAGAATCCATTCATCTCCCAGGCAGCAGACAGACTAGGAGTGTGGCCAGTATCATCTCAGGGTTGGAAAGACACAGCAGGAAAGCACTGGGCCCATTTCCAGTCTGGCTGCTAAGCCAGCTGTGTGGGCTCAGCCATGCCCAACCCTGGGCACAGTCCCTTCTGCCAAATGAAAACGCAGCTGCTCTGTGCTCTGTACTCCCCACAGTTCTCATGGGCCTGCCTCATAGTTCTCAAGGGCCCAGCTTAGGCTCCTGCCAACTGACATGGTGGGGTGTGGTTTTCTGGCCACTCCGGGCTAAAAACAAGTGTGTGCAGCACTGGCTCCTACTCTCATCTAGGAAAACATTTTAGGAGCAAGGGATGGGACTGGTGATGAAATGAAAGTATCTGCAGGCAAGAGGCTAGACTTTGCTTCGGGAAGACTGGCCACCTACAAGAGGAAAGCTCACCACATGGACCCAGCCTAAGGCTCATTCCTGAGGTCTCAGTGACAACCAGGCCACAGACACACTTCAGAAGATACCCCCTCACAGGCCACTTTTAGCCAGAGGTAAACAGTGGGTGAGTAGTAAGGGTCATGCCAGGTGGCAAATGCCAAAGGTGAACGGCTACAAAGTAGTCTTTTGAACCAACAGAAAGCTAAAGATGAAGCCCAGGAAATCACCCAGTTTCCTCATAGGGTCATACTCCAAAGGATTCTATAGCCATGAAGATATAACCAAGTGCAAATCTTACAAAGGGTCTCGACTGCTGCTCTTTCGGGGACCTGGTCCTGTTCTCTCAGATCCAAAATGATGATGACAGGTTACGAATGACATACGGGCCCCTATAGCGAGGGCCCTTCTCCCAGTCACCAAGTTACTGACCAGCAACTGAAAAGAACAGTATGTGTGAATGAGATGAGCTCAGGGGTGCAGAGCTGCAAAGGAACTGAGAAATCACAGGGGAACAGGGGACAAGGACTCAGAGCTCCAGGCCACATCCCTGCCTTAACCAGAGTAGCTCCCCTTGTTGCTTTCCATTTGGGGTTCCTGAATAAACAAAAAGGACTGCTAATACCAAAACCCCTGATCTAATCCAATCCTTCCAATAACAACTGGGCAAGAAGCTGGGAGCTGCTGCAAGTTAGAGCCTGACAGCAAGTTTTCCACCACACTGCCAGCATTGGCTGGCACAGCACATACACCACTACAATGCCTCGCAGTGAAGCTGCCTAGGACAAAAATCTCCAGGAACGATGAGTAACAGGTAGTCCTGCCCATGTATTAGTGGACAAAAATGTTAGAAAATATATGCTACTTAGGGTTCCCTAGTCACTTAAAAACTTGACTCAATTTTCATTCTTTTAGTTTTAAAACTATATAATAAAAGTATGCTATTTGTTTATGCTGCTACAAGCAAGCAGTGTTGAGAATCTGATGCAGCCACACAGCCCCACAGTTGGTATATTATATTCTTCGGGGTTTCCTTATGCCTCGCTATCAAATATCTGCACTTTCACTCACTTGCTAGCATCAACCTGTGGAAGTGAGAAACCCAGATCCACATAACCCTAATCCCAGAACTGCAATATTTGTCACACAGCGCTGTGTGGAGCACAGCTAGAGGACCAGCCTCCAAATCTAGCCCATGACCTGCCAAGCTCCCTCTCCTAAAGTCCTGGTCCTTAACCCAAATTTTCACATGGAGCTTGGGCCATTCCCAGGGTGCCCCCTAAAAGTCACATGAGACTGGAAACCAGCACCAAGAACTTGCATGAAGGGCTCAGTGTAAGATGTCTCCTGAGGCCCCGTGTGTCTTCGCTGTCCCAGTGCCCACCACTGTCCATCAGCACATTCCATGTCAAAATGGAAGAAATACTGGAACCCGCCTTGCACAATCCAGCTCATTTCTCGTTAGATGACAGGAACCCAATAAAGCAACTCCAATTCTTTTTTCTGTGAAATTTATTGTTTCCACATTAAAAGATTTTGGGGAAAGGAAGGGAAGTATATTTTTAACCACATGATGATCCTATACAACTGCCCAGAGTAGGACACCATCATAAGTCATTAACATGCCATATGAGTTCTGAATAAATAAAAGCTACAAAGCCCAAGTTATATACAAATATCTTAGGCAATAATGTTTACAAACCTATGTACAATAAAACAAATGTAAACAGTAAATGCAGCATGAGAGTAATCAAAGGATGCACAGGAACAACCACTTTTGGTCAGTCTGCCCTAGGAGCTGGTGCCCCCAGCCCCCAGAATTAGGCCACCCAATCCTTCCCTTGGAAACTGGATGGACCCTCAGACATGAAAACAAAAATCTGAAAATATCACTCAACTGAAAGACCAGAAAGCTGGTGAGGAGGCTGCCACCTACCTCCCCTGAGTCTGAGGCACGTGGAAAAGGAAGCAATGCAGAGGCTCAGCCTTGGGAGTGCCCAGGCCCCGGAGGCTCCTGCCACTGTGGCTCAGACAGCATCTCGCTGCTTTGGGAGGCAAGCATATGGAATGGTGAGTGCTTACGGAAAATCAGAAGGTGCAGACATTTTTCCCTAATTCAGTGACCTTCCTGACTCTTCGCCGGAAACAGGTCCAAACTGTATGGATGAGTTGGGGACACATGATTATGACCACTGAAGATGCTTAGATGGGCACTCAGGATGAGGGCACACGTTAACCTGATTTAGGGGAGAACTCCTAGAGATCTTCAATGTCCTAAACACAACTAAATCCTATCAGCACAGCAGAGTGGGGGTTATGAGGCAGGTGTGATGAATGGGTACTTCTGCATCCAGTGACCAAGTAATACATGTATGTATCACCTTGTGACCCACAAAAGTGCAATCATGTGAAACCAACGGCACTACGGCAAGAAGAGAAAATAGCCAGTATTGAGATCGCGCAGTCCTGGGGCCGGGCCGGGCCCAGCAGCCACCACTGCATGCAGCCTGCCCTCTGCCAGCCATGGGGAGGCAGGAAGACGGGCACAGGGCGGGCCCAGGCACCAAAGGGTGAGGCGTGGGTGTCCTGGGTTGCCGGAGGAGGACAGGAGCCTCCACCTGGAGGCCGGGCACTCACACACTGAGAGGCAGCATACCCGGTGCTGATGACGGACGCGAGGAGCCTAGACCAGGAGGAGGCGCAGGGTCAAAGCCATTTACTGCCCTGTAGGGATGACGATAGAAGAGAAGGGAAGGGAGGAGAAAGAGATATCATTTAAAATCACTACACACAACAAAAAAATCCATTTGCTTTCTATAATCCCCTACCTGGCCCATCATAGGGCCCTCAAGTTCAAGGGTGAAAGGCTGCCCAGTGTGAGTCGGTGAAAGAACAGAGAATTCACAGTCCTTGAATGCCGAGACCATGTGCTCTTTCTTGGCAATTATATCACACTGACCATTGTGGCCTTCAAATTTTTTCCTACAGAGCAGGTCCAAATGCCTGGTAACAGGGAACCTGGTAAATAATTATGTAATAAAATATTATCTAACCATTAAAAATATATCTCACATAGTTTTTAATAGCATGGGGTAAATATTCAAAATGTATTTAACGCTAACTAGAAAAAGCAGCAGGCTATCAAACTGTATATGTTCTGTAATGTAAAGGAAGGAAAATAGTAAACAGTACATACACTAGTATCTATTCTACACTTACAGCCCCTTATATAGACATTACTGTGTGGCCAAATCTAGAATGGGAGGCTTTTAGATATATATACACACATATCACTATAAAGTGTGTGAATTCTACATATACATAATGTATATACATACACATGTACATAAAATCATATCTGAAAGTTTAACAGTTACTTTTCTTCCCACTAGGTTAATTTTCTACTACTTTACTTCCAAATTTACAATGTACATAAATATCTTAATAAGGGACAGAAAAATAACTGGTTACAGATTGTTTAGCAAGCAACACCAAATAGTAGACTGCAGATTAATATGCAGGCAGCCCAGCCCTGCACAAGCACCAGCACCAGCGATCAGGTAGAGTGCCCAGCCCCAACCCCAGGCAGCACAGCCACAAGAAGCCACAGCAATTGAAGGAGGGAAGGAAGGAGGGGCCTTTCTATCCTGAAAGACTTCTAGGAGAATTTGGCCTAGTAGCCACCTGAGAGAAGAGAGCCAACCATAAGAAACCACCCTGTACCACACTTACCCACATGCCCCAGCTTGTACAGAGGGCCAGGAAGCTGAACATAATATATTCATAGAGAGGTTCTCTTTTTAAAAAAAAAAAAAAAGTGAAGCCACATTATCTCTGCACTAACTACAGTGTCACAGGCTGAAATGTGAGAGAAGCAGGCATGCAGATTTAACAGAAAACCCCTGGGTATTCTGAAGAAACTGAGTTCATGTCTTAACACACCATACTGAGAATCTGAAATCAAGCCACACACACAGAAACTGAGAACAAAACTCTGATACATGTACTTTCTCCCTGATATACACTGTCCTACTTCAGACGGACAGTGTCCATCACTTCAGTTCACTGTCCTAATCCAGATAGACAGCCTGGATTTCCCTTTTTAGATTGAGAGAGGTCTGACTTTTGAGCTTCATTTGAATACTATAAATCACCCCTCCCCACTCTCCCAAGGCTACATGCCCATGCCTCTTCTGAGGTGGAATGTCACATCCTGTGTGCCACTGCAATGCTTACCAAATAGCTCTGTATGTCATTTGTCTGGCTAGTCCGTATGTGAATCTCAATTTCCCAGCCTCTTAAATCCTGCATCAGGGAAAGCTGGACTGCAGAGGCCCTGAGGCCCAGCAGAGAGCAAGAGTGCACTGAGTTGCCAAGAAGATTCTGGAACCTGGTCCACCAGAGCATGCAAGGGCAGCCACCACAAAGGTGGCTCTAAACACAGGTTTAGGGGAAGGCCAACCAGCAATCCAAAGATGGGCTTTTAGGAAATATCAAGTCCACCCGCACTGTGACATAGCTAAGGAAACCAAAGATAGCTCTAGTTAAGATCTCCAGCTCACCTCGTGAGCTGTCGGTTGAGAAGTCGGGGGCCCTGCAGAGGCCTAGGGTACTCTTTCCAGCCTCCTCTGATCAGAGGAGCACTCAGCAAGGAACCACTTTGGTGCTCCCCATGAAGATCAGCTCTAACGGGAAAAACCCAGGATATAAGGGAAAATGGAAGCTGAATACATAATTTCTCTGTGTGCATGTAGGAAGCTAAAACCAGAGGGAGACGGCAGCTGCCCCAGCAATTTTTAATTGCAGCTGGGTGAGGCTCTTTCAAATAACTGCAAACTTATGCAATAAAGAAAGGTTCCCAAGAAAAGAAACACCTCCATATACAACAGAATCAGAGGAAGAGCTGCTGAGAAATGTTTTCATGGACCACACAGGACTGAATGAATGGAGGGCACAGGCAAGGATAGAGAATAAATGATGGAAAAATTCCAGACCCGTATAATTCACTATTTTACTCAAAAGTCTAGTTAAAAGTGATAAACAGATTCCAACTAAGAAACAGTGCTGAGGTCAGCAGCAAAATGGCAACATAAGTATTAACAAGGGGAAAAGTCAGTGCACATTTAAAAAGCCAGTCAGAAAGGGACTGTAAATCTAACACAACAGAGATAAAGGAGAGAAAGCAGCAAGTGTGTTACACCTGAGAAGGCAATACACAGAAAATGAGGGCAATCTGAGCTAATTCAGAACACTGCAGAGCCTGGTCTCCTTATCAGTGGATAAAAGGAAACTGTGGCTCCAGCCTACTCAATCTTCAGGCCAGGCTGTGCAAACAGAAAAGCAGTTCTGAAACATAAGGTAGATCTTACACATATGTCTCATCTACCTTTCTGGTTTAATTCTAGGTTATAAGAGCCACATGCAGAGACAAAGGGGGCTTTGTCTGAGAAAACAAGATAAGTGGAGGACAGAGGAGCTCCATCCCCATGAAGACAAACGATCCTGGGACCTGACCAGGACACACAGCCCCACCCCGGGCTCTGACATCACCAACAGTGTCCTGCCCCAATGGGGAGTGGCACCAGGCGGCTATCGCAGCTGCCCATGTTACTGCACTGATGGTTTGTTTTGTTGAGATGTGTTCTCAGTATGTTGCCTATGTTGACCTCAAACTCCTGGGCTCTAGTAATCCTCTCACCTTGCACAGCCACTGAAGTGTTTCTGTTCTGCACTGCTAAATGAACAGTAGCAGTAGTATAAAGTCAAGGCTCACTCATGGGCTAAAAGTTGGTTAAGCTGAGTCAGCCCCATGCAGTTAGTAAAACCAGTTTGTTAATGTTTCTTCCACCACACACCATGATTAAGGAAGGGAGAGAGCACAGCAAACAAATTCAGTTACCCATGAACAACGTGGGAAATATGACTTTTTCTTGCCTAATAAAAAAAGGAAAGAACATTAAATAGTAAGACAAATACTATTTTCATAGTGTTCTAAAATTAGTCCATGCCCACCTACACACAGCCCAAAAGAAATAGACTGTTTTGCAAAAATAGGGCAAGTAAAATAAAAGAAGCTAAGGCTAAGGAGAAAAAAACGCAATGTCTCTGTTTAGGTCTGGCTTTCTGTGGTAAAGCTTCGCTACATCTAAAGGTTGTGAGAGCACAAGAACCCACTGGTAAATTCCTCCTCCAAACAATCAATCTTTGGGGTATCCAGCCACACACAGGTGACAGTACAGCTCCAGTACAGAGGGGCACCAGCAGACAAGTTCTAGAGCCAAGGGTTTTTAAAATAGGAAGGTTTTTCACATACTGAAATGGCAAGCCGCATTTCTTCACTTCTTTAAAGACTCTTGTGCAGTTTTTTCTTGTTTTTCTCTTTTTGGACAGGGTCTTGCTGTATAGTTCAGGCTCCCCTTGAACTCACTATTGTAGTCCAGCCTGGCCTCAAACTCAGGGCAATCTCCTGTGTCAGCCTCCCAAGTGCTGGGATTACAGATGTGTATCACCACGCAAAACTAGGATTGTTTTCTTTTTTGCAACCTGACAGATTTAATGATGGACCTAGGAGTTTCCCTCTTTCCTTATGCAACTTATATATAACATCTCAGTTTTTATCTACTGGATAGGTAAGGCAAAGAAATACGAGAGATGAAACACCAAACAGCCCAGAGAAAGTCAGAATCAGAACAAAGCAGCAAAGAAGTAGAAACACAGCAAACCCTCAAAGCTAGCCTCAGAAATATGATAACCAGACAAAGACTGATTGAGCAACAGTAGACTAATATTGTAGTGGACATATACAATACATTGTCAAATAAATTAACACTTAAACCAGGGCCATCCCACAAAAGCATATTTCATTATGCCCATAGTATAAAATAAAATTTGCAAAACGCTGGGCCAAAACCAAGCACCATCAGAAACTGATTTGATCAGAAGTACCTTTCCAGATTCAGTTCAGGAAACAAGGCCTACACTGCATCTAGGCTGTTCCTTAAGGGCTGGGGCCCAGGCTCACAGCCAAAGCCTACTTCTGTTTTCACCCTGCACTGAATCCTTCCGTTTCCCCAAGACCAGGCTCATGTCTGTGTAGCTGTCGCACTGGTACTCTCCAAGTCAAAGGCAGGAGCAGCAGCCAGGATGGACACTGTGTCCTCTCCCTAATGAGCAACTGTCCACAGAAAGGCACCTCTCCAACCAATCCAGTTCTGGCCCATGCCTGTTCTCACATGTACCTAAGGCCCATCGAGAAATTACTCTACTGAAGGGAACTAAAGTTGCAAAAAAAAAAAAAAAAAAGAAAACATTCCAACATTCTTGAAGACTGCTCCTAAGCTTTTTCCATATCATTTGGGGGAGAGGGCAGCTCTAAAGCAGAACAGCACACTCCATGTACTACTGCAGCATAAAAATAATTTCAGTATATGTGCTGCCAAAGCAAGCACAACAGTGTAAGAACAGAACACTCCTCAAGTTGGCCTGGAATTCCTAGGGCTAAGGAAACTTCACTTTATACTTAGCCCACCTGGAGAACTCCCAAAATTAGAACAGAGTACTGCTTTATATGCTGATATTTTAGAATGTACTTTTTTTTTTGGCGGAGCTGGGGATTGAACTCAGGTCCTTGCGCTTGCCAGGGAAGTGTTTATTCTACTGAGCCATCTCCCCAGCCCCTAGAATGTACTTTTAATAGACTGTCTTTAATGAAATAAATATACTTCAGGTGGAATTCTCTAAAGTATTAAGTTAAAAAAAAAAAGTATTAAGTTCATCTTTAATTCAAAGGTGAACCAGAACACTCCAACTATGAGGATGAACAATAAAACCACTTTCAGGAGTGTACTGTGTATCAAAGCTGGTCCACTGTATGTCAAAATTATTGAGGACAGCAAAAAATATAGGCTCTTTTAAGAAATTGTATAAATTCCTAGAGTTATCCCTACATTTCTTCAATGAAAAACAAGAAAGTACTACCAGCATGACTCAAAGCAGACAGTAGCAGAGGGTCATGAGTGCCCAGGTGCTATTCCAGCATAACTACCTGAGGAAAGTGGTCAGCAACCCCAAACTACAGCCCATCACCAGTTCCCTGTACCAAGACATGTCCATAATGAAAAGACAGCCATGCACCACTGAAGTTTAAAAATATCAGATAGAGGGCCGGGGAGATAGCTCAGTAGAATAAGTGCTTGCCTGGCAAGCACAAGGGCCTGAGTTCAATCCCTGGTTCCACAAAAAAAAATAAAATTAAATTAAAAA